AACATGCAAAAGGCTTGCCCAACTGAAAAAAATTACACCAAAAACAAAAAATGCTGGAAATCACAACAGGTCAGGCAGCATCCATGGAGAGAGATCAAGCCAATGTTTCAAGTCTGGATGACTCTTCATCAGAGCACTTTGCCTTAATGGTAATATATTCTTATTTTATGTTGAAAATGACCACATTTACAAATACCTAGCGTTGTAGATAGTCAACAGCAAAATATGACAGATGCTGGAAATCTGATATAGAAACAGAAAATTCTAGAAATTCTCATCAGGCCAAGAGTCAATGGTTCAGGTCTACAATGTGCACAGTTTCGGATTAAAGAGTCACTGACCTCTGCGTAGATATTGTTAGATGTGTTGAGCAATTATAATAATTCCTATTTCTATTAAAGCAAAAAAAACTCATTTTGTCACCCTTCCAAAAAGCAATCAGATTTGTTGATAGCTTACCATTTCCCTGCAGCATGAAACCCAGCAGGAGCTTTGAGTTAAACAGATGAGCTTCATTTTCCGAGTGTACTGATATGAAGGAAAGTTCGTCGTGTCATTTTGCTGCTAGCTGATGTTCATGTATTCTGATGGCTAGTTTCTTTCCTGTCTGTCCGATGTAATGTTTGTGGCAATCGTTGCATGGTTTTTTGTAAACTACGTTGGTTCTTCATGTTGTGGGTATGGGGTCTTTAATGACAATGATCACAAGGATCAGTTTAACTGGGACAACAGAGCCATAGTAGCCCAAGGCAAAAATAGACACGCATAGGAATTCCTAGAGGCATGGTTCTCAACCCATAATGCAATCAACAAACTCATAGAATCAGACCCCATATACAAACCCATACAGATCAGAACCAGAACCAACTCACCATAACGGATTGGACAGTATAAATTCCAAATGGAGTAAAACAACATCACTTCATCGGAAGCCTCACTGATGATGTTACTTGGCATGTTGATGAAACATCTGAATGAAAACAAGTCAGCTCAGCAAGCAAGTCAACAACTTCACCCACAACCTGAGCTACAAATCTTTGCAATTGATTTGGGATGGACATAGCCAGGGCCACATTAAATCAAGTGGCGATTTATTTTTGATTTTAGTTTTATTTTAGTTTGAAATGTTATTCATATCGTTACTTCAAACTAGAATGAAATGATTTGCAACTGGAAATATAGTGGCTAAAGGGATTCAATGGGATGTGAATTTAATCAATACAGAGAAATATTAATGTTGGAGCAGGAGAGAAATACAAAAAGGCAATGGTTCAATGATAATAGTCCATTGCTCTAGTTTTATTCAAACAATATTAATGCTAAAATTATTGCAGTAAATCGTAGGGAATTGTACAGGTAGGAAATAGAATTAAAATCTCTTCAGACTTATCTGCACGTTCAGTGCTTTGTGTTGGGATGAAACAATTTTAAACACCCATGGATATGCTCTGAAATTGACAATAGTGCCTTCAGTGGGCCAGCGCATGTGTGAGAGGTCAGGGTCATGACCTGGGATGGACTACATTGTCTGGAATGCACCCTTGCTGTCAAAACAATGGTCACATGGAGTTGAGCTCTCACTCCAGAAGAATAGGATCACAAGCACTAGAACTCTGTCACCGAGTCGGGTGCCTGCCACACTTTTGTCGAGAGCATATTCAGGTATGAGGCAACCGCTTGAGAGATGGCTGGTACTGTCTGAGCCTGGCATCCTGAAGGCATGGGCCTTGGTGATCAGAACCATATGTATTCCCCACTCCAACTCAATGATACTACAACATCATGGATCTGTAGTGCGCACATGCAGGAGAGGCTGTTTTGTTCTCTATTGATATACTGAACCTTCTGCCCCAGTGCAAGATTGTCAGTGTGAGCTGAGAATATAGAACAGTAAGTAGTGAAGCAGATTGAAGAATCAAAAATTCAAGAGATAGTGGATTAATAAACTCAGGGAGCTGCACAAATCTCAAGCATAACCCCAATTAGAATGATAAAACTGAAAGCAAATATATCACTCACTTTTTTTGTTTCAGTTTCAGTTTCAGTAAATACTGATTGTCAATGTGGTGGCTTTTCAGAAGTTTCTGATTGATTTATTATCGCGTGTACCGAAGTACAGTGAAAAACCTTGTTTACGAGCAGTACAGACCGATCATAGTAAGCAAGGATGTACAGATCAAAAGATTAGACAGAGGTACAGGTTACATTGCACAGGGCATGCACTAGGCAAGATCGTGTTAGCAAGATCGATCATTATTTGAGGGTAGAGAGTCCAATCATCAGTCTTTAAATAGCCAGGAAAAAGCTGTTCCTGAACCTGCTCGTGCGTGCGTTCAGACTTCTGTATCTTCTACCTGACGGAAGAGGTTGTAGGAGATCATTGCCAGGGTGCGATAGATCATTGATGATGTTGGCAGCCTTTCTGTGGCAATGAGCTGTGTAAATAGAGTCCATGGATGGAAGGTTGGCTTCCATTGATGGTCTGGGCTGTGCACACCACCTTCTGTAGTTTCTTACAGTCCTGGGCAGACCTGCCATACCAGGCCATTATGCATTCGGACAATGTGCTTTCAATGGTTCATCTATAGAAGTTGTTGAGGGCCCTTATGGAAATGCCAAATTTCCTCAGCCGCCTGAGGAAGAAGAGGCATTGTTGTGCCTTCTTGACTGTTGAATCTACTTGGGCAGTCCAGGACAGGTTGTTGGTTACCGTCACTCCTCACAACTGTCTGCTCATGTTAAAGTGATCTCCTATCAGATGAAGAGATAACAAAGTGTAGAGCTGGATGAACACAGCAGGCCAAGCAGCATCAGAGGAGCAGGTAAGCTGACGTTTTGGGTCTGGACCCTTCTTCAGAAAATCATTGTTAGACCAGATTGGGTGAAGTGCAGGTAAAGCACTGCCTCAGTGGAAGATATTTTTGGTCCCTCAGATATTGAGAAGGGAGGAAGTAAAGGGGCGGTTGCAGGGAAAGGTGCCGGGGAGGTGTGAGAGTGGTGTTGGGAGTGAAGGAGTAGTGGACCTGGGTGCCCAAAGGGAACAGTCCTTGCGGAAGGCTGACAAGGGAGGGGAGAAGAATGAGTGTCTGGTGGTGGTGGAAATGGTGGCTAATGATTCTCTAGATGTACATTTGAAAGCGGTGAACTGTAGAGGATTACAGAAATAGGACTTGAGAATGGTACTAGCTGGGTAGCTCTTTCGGGAGCCAGCCAGCAAGCAATGCCCGCATCACACAAATGAATAATTTTTTTTTTTAAAAGTACAGACACGATACTCGCAACTGGGCTTGCATGAGCACAGCTTCAACAACACTCCGCTTCACACCATCTAGGCCAAAATAACCTGTTTGATAGGAACCATATTTACTTGCTCTACCAATACTCAGTAGCAGCAGTGTATATGATCTACACAATGCACTGCAGAAATTCACCAAGTCTCCTTAGACCCACTTCCATCTAGAAGGACAAGGACCGCAGATACATGAGAGCACA